CCCCTCCTAAGCAAAAAGTAATGTCTGAATGTGAGCTGGGGGAGAACAAAATCCGAGTGACTGTCAGCCCACGGTTCTGGGGCTGTGCCCCTTGTCCCCTCTTTTTTAGAAGAGCTTTTTGGATGCACTACATGGTGGTGGCAGGAAAGGGGGAGCAATGCTTTTGGGGCGCTCAGCGCACAGCTGCAGAACTAACGCACAGAGAAATCGCATGTGCCCTGGCTCAGACTGACTGTCCAAGACAAAACTCAGTTCTTGTTCCTCCCACAAAAGGAGCAGATTAAGAATTGTCCCTGTAAGGGCTCTGTTGGGCTCTTGTTCCAAAACCGAGGGGTAAAATAAAGCCTCGATTAAAGGAATAAAGGACCTCAATTTTCTCCTTGTTTAAATTTAACCTCAAAAAATCTTGCCACAGTCTCTTCATTGGTCAAATGAATTTACGTGACTTTACCTGTTCTTCATCAGTGACTAGTTTCTGCAAATGTGGTGCTAATAGAATATTTCCTGTTTTTTTTTTTTAACATTGTCTTCATTGGTGTTAAACTGAGCTTTTTTTTTATGACACTGAGGTTGAACTACTGCCTGGTTAGCACATAAGAAATTGTGGTAATTCTTTGCGTCTGGGTTTTGTAATCACTGTAAAAGCACACTTTCCTTGGGGTTTCCTTTTATGCTTACTGTCCGCATGTTTTCACTTGTTCACAAGTCTTTTATTTTCAAAGTTTTCAGTTGAGGGTAAGTAGAGATGAGTTTTTTCCCCCCCTCCCTCTTAGAGCAAACCCCTCGAAGCTTACCAAAGCAGCTCTTCTCAGGCAATTTGTAACGTATGACCCAAATTCTGACCTAACCCAAGAAGGGGGAAAGAAAAAAGGGGGAACAGGGGCAGGTCTGACAAGAGGAAAGAAAAAACAAACTGCAGCTTTGGGCGAGGTCTTTTCCTCCTGCCTTCACGCTACGGTCTAATGTGTGCCAGAATTAGGCTCACAATGCAGCTTTTGCAGTTGCTTCAAGGCTTAAAAAACTGAGCATAACAACCCTTCTCTTCCTTTTCTCGCCAGTCTTGCAGCGCTAAATGTTGCACACGTGTTACCTCTAGTGTCTCTGAGCCCTGTCAAGTGACATTGCGTGACTTTCTGACTGGTTTCTCTGATTTTTTTCCGTTCTTTTGGACGTCTAGGGCGAAGGAGGGGAGGAGAGGGTGGCCTGTAGGCGAGAGCATCCCAGCCCCTGGCTAACTCGTACGCAAATTGCCTGAGAAACGCTGGAGAACGGCATTCCATGAGCGGGGCTTTAGCTCTTGTAGCTGGGTTCTCTTTTTTAACTCAATCTCCAGTAATAGGGCTCTGGTTATTTTGCAGAGTGTCTCTGAAGAATGGACAGGATTGCCGTGGCTAACTACAAGCTACAGTTCACAGTGGACAAACGTTGTAGTTTTCTTATTTCCTTTTCTAAATTTCTTTTCTTTGTTTTTATATCTTGTAGTTTCTAGTCAGTTCTGTATGATTGCTGTTGTACAAATGCCGTTTAAATGATGTGTAAATATGTAGTTGTAAGACATGAGTGTTGCCATGTTTTCTTTTCTTCAATCATTGCTGAAAATTGTCAATCTCTCAAAATTTACAGCTGCCCACAGGCCAAAAAGGGGGTAACGAATTGACCCACGAAAATTAAAGAATTCAGTTAACAGGCGACGTATGCCTTTTAATTCCTATCTCTTTTTTTTTTTTTCATTTTTTCTGTTTAATATTTCGAATGAGTAGGTAGAATGTTGTTGGCAAATAGGAAGTTTAACAATCGCACGGTTAAAGTGAGCCATCCAGCTAATGTCAGTCAGCTCCGTGTGCCTTCAGCGATTCTTTTGAATAGCCGCTTTGACCACGCTTTGTGTCTTAACACTCTGTAAAAACATTTTGAAGCCGGAGCCAACTGTCGTTAAAAGTACGTGAATTTCTTAGAGAAGCTATTGATTTGCATGTTTACACAATTCCGTTTCATTTTGCTCCTCCCTGGCAGAGCGTTAGTAAAGTTCTGTTTAGAAAAGATGCTTTTTGCTTTGACGTGTTGCTGCTGCGATAAACATTTGACCTTAGTGAAGGTGAAACAGGAAAATAAGCTGTAGGTGTGACTCGAGTTGTCGTTTTTAGTTAGGTTATCGTTTGAAGGCGCTAACCTGGCTCTGGTTTCTGCTTTGTAGAGACGCCCGCGTGGTAAAGGACATGGCAACAGGGAAATCGAAAGGATACGGCTTCGTTTCCTTCTTCAATAAATGGGTAAGCTGTGGCACGGTCTCCAACGCCCCTGAAAAGCGGACGATGATTTTCCGCAGCCGTGTTGTTGGTCCCGATCTCTCTTCAGCTTCGGTTTGCCCTCCCGCCGAGGGAGAAGCTTTCCTCTCTGCGTGTTAAAACACTAAACCTTTGCTTTAGTTTCTAAAGCATGTGGTGAGTGACATCCAAGTGAGCGACGTACAGACGCAACAGAGAGCGACAGCGCGTCTGCGGTGCATCGAGAGGGGTCTCGGATGCACTCAGTGAGGCCTGACAGTGTCCTTCGTCCTGCCTAAAATCCCATCTCTTGGAACAGGGTTTATTTCGTCATTTATTTTGTCAATTTCTTTTATTTTATTTAATTTGTTAAATGTCAGGTGGGGCGGGCGTGCGGTGATGTCCTTCATTTGGCTCTATTGCAAAGGCAGAGATGCCTACGGTGGGTTTTTCTCCTCTCCCTCTCTCGCGGACAGGACGCAGAGAACGCGATTCAGCAGATGGGCGGGCAGTGGCTCGGCGGAAGGCAAATCAGAACAAACTGGGCGACGAGAAAACCTCCAGCTCCAAAGAGTACATACGAATGTAGGCTTTCAGTTATTTGGGTCTTTGCAAACCTCCCGCCAAGGAGGAGAAAAGGGCGAGCTGCGGGCCCGGGAGATGGCGGGAGAAGGGAAAGCAGGTCCTAAAAGCCAAGGCTCACTCAAACACGTGCAAACCTCCAGAATAAAGCAGCTTCTTGGCTACGGCGACTGTCTGACGGGGGGAAGTTGTTTGATTTCTTCACGCCCAAGTTGGAAGTTTGCTTTCTCTCTAGACAGCCAGCACGACTGGCTTTTTAACTTTGCTCCCTCGCTTTCAGGGCTTTCTGTTGTGACACAAAGCGAGAGTGCGTCAAAGAAAGCGTTTCTGCTGGCAAGGTTTTAAATTTTGAGGTCTTTGCACTTTGTGCTCGACCTCTCGTGCCCATCAGGATTAGAATTTCTACATAACGTGTCCGATTTGCTGAAAAATTCTGTATAATCTCTTTCAGCAAACACCAAACAACTGTCTTACGACGACGTGGTCAACCAGTCCAGCCCGAGCAACTGCACCGTGTACTGCGGCGGTGTTACTTCGGGACTGACAGGTAGCGTGGCTTCGAGCTGCCGGCGCGTTGAACGTCTCCAAAGAATGCTGCGGTCGCCTCACGTTGCTGCTCTTGTTTCTCCCTCCTGCAGAGCAGCTGATGCGCCAGACCTTCTCTCCCTTCGGGCAGATCATGGAAATCCGAGTCTTCCCAGACAAAGGCTACTCCTTTGTACGGTAGGCTGTCGGGCGCTTTGGGTGTTGATGAATTTAAGAACAATTATGGGTTGGCACGCTTTTGGTGTCTGCTGAACTGGAGAGGATGCTTTACAGCACCCTCTCTGGCTGCAGCCTGCTCTGAGGAGGGAGCGATGGCTCATAGCACCTGGCACAAGTAGGAAGAAACCCCTCAGCCCAGTTTAACGTGGTGTTCTGCCCTTCATCGCCAAGGGTTTTTTCCCTCTTCCTCTTGCGTGATTTCACAGTGGAGTTTCCGAGGCAGACAGTTGAGTTTCAGAAGCTTTTCCAGAAGCATCCTCACTTCTTCATTGATCAGGATCCAGATAATAAAAAGGAATTGTAAATTGGCGCGCTCTTTTTGCTCCTGAGTTTTCCGATTAATTTAAGGGGAGTTATGACACCCAGACAGAAAAGGGACGGTACCCAGTGTCCCTGCCGCCTGCTGCCGGGGAGGACAGGAGAGAGTTCTTGTGGTGGGGCTGGTGTTCTCTGGTGGAGACTCTCCTGGGGTCACTTCTGGCTGTTACTCGCCGAGTTGTTTATATTGTCACGACTTATATTTCGCCAGGTTTAATTCCCACGAGAGCGCCGCGCACGCCATCGTTTCTGTCAATGGAACGTCTATCGAAGGACACATCGTGAAGTGCTACTGGGGCAAGGAGACACCAGACATGATCAGTCCGGTCCAGCAGCAGGTCAGAACTCCCTCTCTGTTAGAAACGATGGCTTTGCTCATTAGTCTTTGCTAGAAACACAGTAAGCAGCTGTAAAATCTGTGTACGTGCTGGTTAAACTCGAGGTACCACATATGACCGATGTTATGGCTTATTTAATCGGAGGGTGTTTCTCTGGAGGACCATCAGAGATTTTAAATCCCTCGGGATGTGTGGGGTCTTGTTATGTAAAAATGTGCAATGTAAAATTCTGGAGAAAGTGTGCAGAATGCTGCCAGTCCTGTGGTGTGAAGGTGGCCAGAGCTGCAGCTCCCGTTCCCTGGATCTCTGCGGATATTTGAGATGACGATGGGGCACTCGCCTCATGAACATGGGCTCGGCAGGCGGGGTGTCTGACGAGTCGACAGAAATCACCACTTTCTCGCTTAACTCCAGGTGTTTGCCTTTGCAGAACCAGATCGGCTACCCGCCGGCGTACGGGCAGTGGGGGCAGTGGTACGGCAGCGCCCAGATCGGGCAGTACGTGCCCAACGGATGGCAGGTCCCCGCCTACGGGATGTACGGGCAAGCGTGGAATCAGCAGGGCTTTAAGTGAGTACTTTGCCTTTTTGGTGACAGTTTTTTTCCCCTGGGGAAGGTGACAACCTGAGTCCATAGCAGCGTAAAAAGCTTCCGAGATGTTCTGGTCCTTCATTAGCTGGACCAAGTGTCTCTGGATCATCTGGATCTGGCCCTGCTCGGAGTGTGACCCACTCGGGCACCCCCATTCTCCGTTAAGTTCTCCCTCGTTACCGACACTTTTGCCTGATTGTTTTGCCAATCGACGGGGTTAGCACAAAGGACACAGGCACCAAATGGAAGAAGAGGAAGCTGATTTTTACTTATGTTTAAAGTGAGAAAATAATGAGGAAAATAATACAGTGAAAAGAAGATAAAGCAGCAAAGTAATAATAAGCGAACTACTATAGCAGGCATACAATAAGGTAATGCACCTAATCATTACTACACGGAGTTAGCGATAGCGAGTAAGATCCATCACCCATTGCCCTGATCATACATCACCATCATCCAGATCCGCAGTCGCTGGGGAGCCCGGTTACTGCGAGAATTTGGAGAGTCCTTCCTGGCAATAGGGAGATTTCTGTACAGCTGAAGCTTCCAAATTCCCTGCAAACATTCCCCGCTTTTAGCCAGTTGAATAAACAACTTTCTATCTGAACTTGCAAAAAACATCTGGTGTAGGTTTTTTTTTTTCCCCTTGTTAACTTTCGTCTCGAGTTTGGCCAGAACGTCGAGAAGGAAGATAACAAGAGCAAAAGCATCTGGTGATGTTGATGGTGCGTCTCTCGACGGAGCAGGCGGATGTATGGTCGGTGCGATACAGATCAGATCTATTGTTAGGTTGGGACATTCGTCTAGAGGTCGACTTTGGTTCAGAGCCTCGCTGCTCAGGCCCGAGGATTTCACTAAAGTTTTTTTCTCCCCCCCGCCAGTCAGACGCAGTCGTCGGCAGCATGGATGGGCGCCAGCTATGGCGTGCAGCCGCCACAGGGGCAGAACGGGAGTGTGCTAACCAACCAAACCGGGTACCGCGTGGCCGGCTTCGAAACACCGTGAGGAGGAAGAGGAAGAGGAGGAGGAGAGGACTGTGAAACCGGCGGGCCGGGGGCTGTCATCGACCGCCAGGATTTAGCAGATCAAGCGTGGGATACGATATATTTATTTAAGAGAGAGAAACAAACAAACAAAGCATTTTTAATCATGAAATTATCATCCGCATTGTTAAAAAAACAAAACAAAACAAAAAAACAAACAAAAAAAAACCAAAACAAAAATCACACAAAACGAGATGCTGGATGTCTGCCGACCTTTGCCTTCTTTTTTCCTCCTTTATGTGTTTCTTAAGATCCATGGTTTTTGAAACACGAGCAAATGCAGGGACTACTGCCGCTGGAAAACGGGGGCAGCAAATTGCACAACGTCAACCTTTTTGGTTTGTTTGTTTTTTTTTTTTTTCTTTTCTTTCCTCGGAAGTAGCGTGCTGTTCTTGTTTGCATTCCGAACGATTTCAAATGTCTTATAAACCATTGTACAAAAAAAAATTAAGAAGCCAAAAGCATGTGAATCCTGAAGCTCCCGTGTCTTCAGCCTTCGCACCGTCTGTTTTAAAAAAGCCTCTTGTATAAAGCCTCTGTCTCTCCGCTTTTGTTACACCGGGTTTTTTCAACGATAAATTATTAGTTTACATCGGTTTTTGTATCTCAGTGTCTTTTTCAGGGTCGTCTTTGCCTTAACGACGGGGAAAAGGGGGACGCTCGGCAGGACGGTGCCCGGCTCCCCCTCGTCAGCGAGGATTCCCACCCTGGGATGGCGAAAATCCTGTTACTAAAATGTGACAAAATTCCTGCGAACCAGCTGGGTTGTTGTTTTGGGTTATTTTCTTTTTCTTTTTTTTTTTTTTACCGATTTCTACATTTACATGTATCAATTATGTAAAATATTTTAGCAAATTAATAATTTTGCACAACCGTTCGCCACTTTTGTCCGTTTCCTTCTTTAAACGTAGGACGGTGAGTTGTTTAACATGGTTATGTCTCAAATATTGTGTTTTTTCCCTATTTTTTCTGCATGTGGATCTCAAACACACACTCTGGCAGGAGGTTCACCCTCTCTTGTTTCTAAATTGTATAAAATTCCCCTAAAATCTCGCAGCGTGTTGGGAATGCGTTTCACACGGGGCAAACAGAGCTCTGCAAAACCGGGAACGCTCTTTTGCACCCTTCTGAGGCCAAACGTGGTTTTCTCTGTCCTACCTTTTGACCAGCCTTCAAAAAAATGCAAAAAAAATCCAAAAAAAGTCAAAAAACTCCAAAAAAATCAAAAAACACCAAAAAAGGGAAAAAAAACCGCACAAAAAAGGATAAAACCAACAAAACCGAAGCTTTCTGTGGGTGCTCTTTTCTTAATCGGGTCCCCTCGGTCAGCTCTCGCCCTCCCCGGGCCGCACCGGGCGGCGGGGAGCGGCTGCAGGGGGTGTTGGGGGGAAAAACCCCAAAATCGGGCAATTCTGCTGCGGGGGCCGCTGGGAGATGTAGTTCCCGACGGTGCGACAACGCGCATGCGCCACGGCGGACTATCCCTCCCACCACCCCCCGCGGCTCTCCCTCCACGTGACGCCGTTGGACCAATGGGAGCGAAGGGGTGGGCGCCATGGCGGAGGCGGGTCGCTGAGGGGCCTCGCGGCGGTCGGGGCCGGACCGGGG